TTTTGCAAGTCCATCTATAAAAAATTAATTTGTAATTGGTGAGTTGCTAAGGTTCCTTTTTAAAATGTCAACAGAGATTAATTAGAATTTTATTTATACAAGGTTTTGAGATAAAATGGACACTCCGTCAAAGAACAAAAACATGGCATTTTGAAAAGTGTTGCCTGAGTAAAAGCTGAAGGAGGATCATTGGACACTGTGATTGAAGGATTAAAGTTTTGCCTCATTTAACATTAGGACTGCTTGTGGACTAATGTATTATGAATCCCAAATGGAGGTGATACAGAAATGACAGTGATTTTGATTCTAGGCATTATGATTTTTAATCATAGAATCAAAGAATCAATTGGGTTGGAAAAGACCTCTGACCCCTGATCCAAAACCTCTGTGGTTACTAGACCATGGCACTAAGTGCCACATCCAGTCTCATCTTAAAAACCTCCAGGGACAGTGAATCCACCACCTCCCTGGGCAGCCCATTCCAATGGCTGATTATCCTCTCTGTAAAACAGTTCTTCCTAATATCCAACCCAAACCTCTCCTGGCAGAGCTTAAGACTGTGCCCTCTTGTCCTACTGCTGGTTGCCTGGGAGAAGAGTCCAATGTCCACCTGGCTACAACCTCCTTTCAGGGAGTTGTAGAGTGATGAGGTCTCCCCTGAGCCTCCTCTTCTCCAGGCTGAACAACCCCAGCTCCCTCAGCCTCTCCTCATAGGACTTGTGCTCCAGTCCCTTCACCAGCCTTGTTGCTCTTCTCTGGACCTGCTCCAGCACCTCAATATCCTTCCTGAACTGAGGGGCCCAGAACTGGACACAGCACTCCAGGTGTGGCCTCACAGCACTGAGTACAGGGCAAGAATCACTTCCCTGGTCCTGCTGGCCACACTTTTCCTGATCCAGGCCAGGATGCCCATTGGCCTTCTTGGCCACCTGGGCACACTGCTGGCTCATGTTCAGCTTCCTGTCCATCCAAACTCCCAGGTCCCTCTCTGCCTGGCTGCTCTCCAGACACTCTGTCCCCAGCCTGTAGCACTGCAGGGGGTTGTTGTGGCCAAAGTGCAGGACCCGGCACCTGGCCTTGTTGAACCTCATCCCGTTGGAATCAGATCATCTCTCCAGCTTGTCCAGGTCCCACTGAAGAACCCTCCTGCCTTCCAGCAGATCAATACTTCCCCCCAACTTGGTGTCATCTGCAAATTTGCTAATGGTACACTCAATCCCCTCATCTAAATTGCCAATAAAGATATTAAATAGAACTAGGCCCAACACCAGGCCAACTGGATGCAGCACCATTCCCCACTACTCTCTGGGCCCAGCCCTCCAGCCAGTTCCTAACCCAGCAGAGAGTGCCCTTGTCCAAGCTGTGGGCTGCCAGCTTTTTCAGGGGTATGCTGTGGGAGATGGTGCCAAAGGCTTTGCTGAAGTCCAGACAGACCACATCCCACAGCCTTCCCACTCCTCAAGTAACAATCATACCGGCTGATGAACTCATTTTGGAAAAAATCATAAAATGGTGAGAAAACATGTGTCTGCACCTTAACAACCTATTCAAGAAGTGGACACACTGACTTTCTCCTATTTTAGATAGAATAAACTAATAAGTTTATTCAGTACCTATCCAAATGCAAGCTTCACTGGTCTTTTAATGGAAGGGACAGTGATTTCGCACTGTTGCACCCTCATCTCTTCCTTCTGTGTCTGCCACCAAACACAAACTGCACTCATACAAGTGCATGGACACAGAGGTGGCCTGATTCAGTTCCTCTTTTCTTGTTGATCAGTCTTGAATAGTGGAACATAGGCATGCTCTCACTCACGTATCTTAAAGATACATTCACATTTGCAGTCCTTTTCAGGTCATGTACAATAACTTTTCACATCCTTGTACACAAATTTAACCCTTGGTCAGATCCTACTCAGCAACCTGCAATCCTGAGGCTTTTGGTCATTCTTGTTGCCCTTGGTGCCTTTTTGATGTGAAAGGGTGAGAACAGCCCACCATGTTCAAGTGACAAGAATTTACTAATAAATTAATGTTCTTCTTATTATCAGTAAAGTAATATTGAGTTGGCATTTGTTATGGCAAAACATCAATGATTAAAAAAGTGTTTAAGAGCTGGTATTGTAGCTGTGGTTTTGGAGTGCATTAAAAGCATGCTTCATTAATTTTTAGTGTGTGAATAAGAACCTCTTATCTGTATAGTATGGAAACTAAAAGTATAACTGAAACTGATGTGGGTCACTGAGGCAATTAAGCATGTGCTTGCTAAACCAGAGCCTTCTGACTAAATATCTTTCTGCATCTGTGCTCCATAATGTATGTGCATTTCCCATCACAGAGATTATTTCAATATATTCAGCATTGGCCAGCAATTTTCATTGACCTACATAAGTAAAGCAGAAAAATAACTCTTAATATGGAATTGTAGTATTCTTAATAAAATCTAGTAATTATTCTTAATGAGACTGTAAGACAGTCACTCTGAGACCTGTTTCCCAGGATTGTTTAAGACTGTTTGGTGCTATGTTTCATCATATGATTCCAAAAAGATGAGTAATGGAAACATTTCTGCCACAGCATGTCCTTATTTATTTACTATAAGTATTAAGCCAAGTCATAAAACAGTATCCAAGCTGAAAAACTGACATCCAATGACACATAGCATGCTTACCAAAACAAGTAAGCCTTGGTGTACAGAAATGTATTTTGTTCTGTCAGCATTCCAACCTGTTTTCTTCCCACTCAGTAGTTTTGTGGCTGTAATCTACAAAAGCTGAAATACTTTTATTTTTCTTATTAATGGAACACAAGAGCTTTGATTACATTTAGGAAAATGTCTATTTAACTCTGTCAAGGATCTGCTGAAAAGTTGGCATGGTTCAGTGGCTGAAAAACTGTGACTGTTGCAGTGTAGCCTAAAAGCAGAAGTTCATACAGCATTTCCCCTTTAATTTTGCTGTTTTGATGCTATCTAATTTAAATCTCCCGAAGAACAAGCTCTATAGCTCCACATAGTGTTAATTTAGAAACATCAAACCTCTGAACAGGCCACAGAATACCTAGATATTTTTCTAAATGTGGATAAAGTAAACCAACTTTCTATAATTTTTCAAATGCATTTTTCTTGAATGGGTTTATTTTTCTGTTATTCAATATTTGTCAGGTCCATCTAAGAATATAACTGACAGTATTCATACTTTTTTTTGTATGTATATTAGCAGCTAGTCCTGACATTGCATCTTTTTCCTCTTCAGCTCAGTAAGTACAAGCTTCTGCTTGACAAAAAAAGTTCAAATCTGTCTCTTTAAATTTTAATTTACACACATAACAGTAAGATCTTAGTAAGATTTTAACAACAAAGACTTTGATGACATCCCAGAGACCACAAAGATGTCACTCTATGGTCTCAGATTAGAAGACAGAACTCTTGGCATATAACTGTCCTCATATTTCTGAGCCTCATAATTGGAAAACATATTTTCTTTGGTGTGCAGGGCACAGACATGAATGACAGCAATTTACTCATAAATACAGTAATGAAAACGCTCTACTTTATTGTGATGTATTCTTGTACTGAAATGGTTACCATTTAATCAATGATGATTTGGGATGAGCAATTGATTTTCATGTAATTTACCAAGACAGAAATTATTTCCAAGTTCTGTCCTGCAACTAGAAGGTATTTTTTAGCCGCAACATACAGATCATTAACAAATAGGTAAAAAAGGCAGAATTTGAAAATAATTTCTTTAACACTGGACTTCAACAGGAAACAGCTCAAAATATGATGCCTCTTCTGACAGTGACAGTTTCAACTGTACTTTCAACTGTATTTTAGGGATGTTTGGATGGCTCTGACTCAGTAATAGCTTGGCTGATTGTGACAAAAGGCCCTTAAAATAAAGCTGATTTTTTTTTTCAGTGTAGTCACTGATCACAAAGGACTGAAAGCTGAATTGATCACCCATTTCACACAGCCAGGTCAGTACAGACAGAAATAAGTTCCTAGGGGGAAGAGAGATGAGATGGGAACTTGAATTCCTGTTGCCCAGGATGCTGTATGGTTGTAACACACAAACTGATAAGAAACTAGGCTCTTGAAACAAGCGGGTAATTTCTGTAGCACTTAGTGGATCACTTACAGCACTCTGTGTTTTTTTCCAAGCAGCTTGGGAACAAAATTCCAAAGTTCAGATGGTACTCTGCTAGCAAAATACATAAAAAGAACCAGCTCAACCAGTATAAACATATAATCAAAACAGAGCAGAGTTGCTACAGCTTTCTCTGCTTACCAAATAAAAGCCTGCAGAGGGCACTGCTAAACGCTATCACTATCTTAACGCATTGTCAGAGGTTATTTAATATGCATCTCAGTCCAAACAAGTGCCTACAACGAAGAGACACAGAAGACAACATAAGGTTAATATCCACTAATATTATATAAGAAAATCCCAGTGTTTTCTTCTTTGATTTTACTTTGTTCCCTATATCTGCTCAAGAAGATACTGGAAAATGTGTTTTGCATCTTGCCACCTGTAAGAAAGGACCCTGCTTCTTGGATATAGACTGTAGTCCCATGCTGCAGATGATGTTCAACAGCCTACCAGACCAGACTCCTGTCTCTGACATCTATGTTGTCCTTTACTGCTCATCTTCAGACTGAAAACATTCAAATTCAACGGAGGACTTGACACTGTATAACACAAGTGTTAAGGATAACATGTACAGTTATAGTATGTATAGCAATATAATTCAAGTGTGCTTTTGTTAGTTTCAGATTATATAGTAAAGCAGATGTTCACAAAATTCCAGAAACACCTAATAAAATGAATACTTTAAGTGCATAACATATGATAAATCTAGGTCACCCCACCTACCAATGCTTCCATACACAAGAGCTCCTATCTCTTCAAGTCTTTTGTCCGCAACTCCCATATCCATCTAATATACTCTAATTGTACCATGTACCCTGTACTTTACATAGGTTGTGTTACCTGGTAAAAATGTGCAGTCATCACCCCAAAAACGCTTCATTAATTTTCTTCCACATAAGGCAGCTCACACGGTTCTTTGGTCAGTTTGTTCACCGTGAATAAAGAATGTTTTTCCAGCACTGGTTTATACTGAAAATTATGTTAGAAAATGCATACCAGAGTCAGTTAGCTCCTTCTACAATGCTTTTTTTTCTGCTTGGAAAGCCCACAAGAATAAACTTGTTTCCAAAAGCCATTAAAGACATTAAAAATGATTGGTGATTCGGGATGTTTCAGTTCCTAGTATCAGATATCAAAGACCGTCAAGGAATGCAGTTCTCCAGACATATTCAGAAACCACAATGGCTTTTGGCAAAGTAATTGTGTGCACAAAGCAAATACTTCAGTGGTAAGGTATTCATGAAACTACAAGCATATTCACCAGTCAGTGAAACCCAAATAATAAAGTCTGAAAGAACAGACTGAATTTCTAAGGATATTTTCACTGATGTAGAGGATGTTTTAAAAAACCACCCTACCGAACTCATAGCAGTTATGAAAACCAAACTGAAGTCCTCAGGGCTGTATAATCCCAAGAACTCAGATCTTCTGCAAATGTTGTGCTAACTATGTTAAACATATCTTTATTGACACTGACAACGATTAATCCACTAAATGTTACAGGTTGCTTTCAGAATTGTGAAATATTTTTTCCCTTTTTGTCTGGCTTTATATATTATGTATGACTGTTAATGCATGGAAAGAGCTCTGCTGTGATTTCCTTTTCTATTTTCTCAGAGATAAACAAACAAAACAAAGTATTTTGGGCCCAAATTTATTTGATTTCTAATCTACCTAAACCACAACTGCAACTTTATTGTAGTATCTGTATCCACACATATTTTCACTCTAAAATTCACTAGTAAATTTACTTGCAAATTTCAGGTTTAGGTTCTTGAACACCTGGGAAAAGCCACTTTTGAATAGCAGATACCTTTCAAAAATTTAGAATGAAAAGGTGTCAGTTGTTTGGTTCATTCATTGAAAAAAACCCCCAGAAACATTATTGCAAAACACTGCTGAAAAACGTAGGAAACTGGGTTCTAACAGTACTGAATTATACTGCTGCTTAGTTATAGATATGGTTCTGTGAGAAACTAAGAGAGTACTGCGTGACTTGTGTGAAATGGACAATAGACTATAAAATGGATGGTGAGTATTTACATGTTATTAGAGAATTATCTGAAGTCAGTAATTATTAATTGCATTGCCTTATAAGTTATCAAATGGTAAATAATGTTGCCAAATAAATTTGTGACCTCTTGTGAGTGAATGGTTCCTAGAAAAATCAGGTGGAATTTATCTTTAGCTTTTTACTGTATTTAAATGTAGCTGGGTATACAAAATAATTTTTAAAAATCAACAGAAATATAAACATTAGGATTAAGAACTGTACTGTACTCTATTCCAGAATTATTGTTTTTGTCCCAGTACTTCAGGTCATCTACCGTATCTAAGCACAAACTGCTGAGTTTGATTTTGCAGTACCAACAGAATAAACTGTTCTTCCCCTTCTTCCTAAACAGTCTCTTTCACAGGAGTACTCCTTCTACTCCTTCCATCTTGGCTGAATTCAGAAAATGTTTGAAAAAATCAGAGTGACTTTTCTCTTTATTAATTGCAGCTGACTAGTCTTGGCATTTAATCCATTGTTTTGGTTTTTTTATTTTTAAAAAACATAAGATTTTCCTATTGTGTTATAAGGAATCGTTTCCCTTTTATTTGGTTCTTTTTTTTTAATTTCTAATATTATTATTTCGATACTGGTTTACATTTCATCTTTAAGGATGCTAACAAACATTATAATTCACCCTCTGAGATAACCTCTGTAGGTCGTCTGTGGGAAAATGAGTTGAGTATTTGCCTACCTTGTCCTGTTTATATGGAACTGTTCTCAGTGTAAAAGTCCATTTTGGTGGGTCAAAGGATGACTAAAATGATAAAATGTGCAGTTTAAATAACAGACTAATGCAATCTTCACACTTCATCAGCAAAAATCTGCAAGGTAAAGGACACATTTGTTCCATGACCAGTTTTAAGAAATGAAGATAACTTTAAATAAAGACATTTTAATGCACAAAACAGATGTGCTTATGAACTGTCACACCCTTTCTGGGTTTATATGACACCATGCCTGCGTCTGTAAGCAGCATGGCAAAAACTTCATGACACTGCCCACGGTGTTTTTACTTTGAGCTATGTTGCTGGTAGTGACAATAGTGGGGGGAGAGGTCATTGTTTTTTTTAAATTTAACATGCAAGGACTGACTCTCCGTCATTGCTCATGGAACAGCTGCAGATATAACATTACGTGAGAAGTAGCTGCAGAATCTAAATGACAGCTCATGGCAATAGCTGCACATCAACACCAGGACTCTTAACAGTGGCAACTACACAGAATAGCTACTCTCATCCAACATTTTCATTCTCAATCTACTTTTGCCACCAGCAGTGTCTCCTTCTTTTCACTATCCTGGTAACATCAGGACTTATGTATTTAGGTTTATGACATTTCAATGTCCCTGGATGTTCCCACAGCTCTGCATGAGCTCTTCCTTTCCAGGACACAGCTATCTCAAGAGCGCAGTTTCCAAAACAACGTGACTGTCACTGAATAGGCAGCTGCAAGCAAGTCTTATCTTCAACTAGGTGAACCTGATGACAACTGACAAGTGGACCTTTGTGCATAAAGGGCTTTCACAATTCTCTTGAGCTTTGTTATCATAATCTTGCTGCTATATCCTGTAATTGTGCCTTGGTAGCCACTGCCAGATCTGTTCAAGAAATTCTGAGCTTGGTCCACTGTACGCATTTTATTTCTACACAACTTTTGTGTCTCAAGGCATTATGAGTTACATTCCCATACCACAACACTGAGAAATATGCTTTTGTAGTCAAGTACAAACAGCCCATTATTAGAAAAAGTCTATTTTTACCACATTACCATTCTAGGCATGTATTTTTGATCTAGCCTACAAAAATGTATCAAAAATATCACACAGTTTAGATTGCATTTGTATTATTGATGTGTGGGTTTCGATAGTCATACTTTTAATGACACGCTGCTACCATCATTATTTTTAATTTCAAATATGTGCCTCATGCCTTTCCACGGAGAAAAGAACAATATCAGCAATCCAAAACTTACAAGGGCTCCAGTCTCCACTTTTATAACAAAATTCTACAATCCAGTTGCTATTAAGAGCGGTACTTGTTTCCCTCATTAACACTGCTCCCAGCACACAACTTGGCATTGATCTGCATGCACCAACAACATGACTTGAATGAACATATTAGGATGCAGCAGCATTAACTAAGGAAGCTACAAAGTATGAAAGGCATGCAGGTCCCTTACTAATTCCTTCATGGATTTTCTTTGACAAATTTTTCTGTACTTTCATGAAGTAAGATGAACTTGGCAAAATGCAATTAATCCAAAAGAAGGATGATTCTGAAGTTGTAAATATTCTTCAGGATGTATTTTGTGCCATTTGTTTAATAATCTGAGGAATAGAGGGGGAATCAATAAAATGAAATGATGCCACACTTCTAATATAATTTCCATTTCCTAATTTAGCAGGCTACCTGTCAAAAAGCATTCAGGGAAAAGACTATAGCAAGGAGGATGTTTGTAGAAGAAGCATTAGTTGGCACATATCTGAGAGTGGGGAATTTGATGGTAGGACATTTTCAAGTTGCCCAGTTAAAAGCATAAAATATGAAATATCTTGGTGTTTTGTTCCTTTACTATATTTTTTTCCAAGGTCTATTATGGTTTTGTCTGGATTCTAACAGATATGGATATGGATTCTAATAGATATAGATTCTCTTTTAGTGTTCAGATAAAAATATTTCAGCTGGGACACAGTATTCATATGGTAAGAACAATATATTACCAGAAAGCTGTTAGGACAAAGCAGACCTTAGGAGTGGGGACAGGCCGTGTTCTTTGAAGGGCACTGGATAATTTGCATGAAGTGAGACCTCTGTATAGATAGCTCAGTCCGAAGGAACTCCTCTAACAGGCAGTGCCGGGGGACTGGTTCACAAAACTTTTCTGCTTGTTTCTAGCAATAGCTATTTCTTTGTAACACAAGCACTGCCCTTGCAACACCGTAGAGATCTTACCTTTAGTTCTCTTCCATTTCTTTTTATTTGCCAAGAGAGATACCAACTAGCTTCATTCACTACCTCTAAAGCTGTAGCTTTAGTTTCTATTTCTACTTGTCATCCTTCACACCACATGCTCCTACTCTCTCCGTAACGTGCAAATAAAAGCATGTGGGCAATCATGGAAACAAGATTAAGTAACAGACCTTGGATAAAAATAACCCAGTGTGGAACACTGATCCAAGTCATCACTTGGGAGAAACGTCTGTGCCTGCCCCTGGCAGACGCCGAAGGCCAGGTACACACTGCATGAGCAACCGTGCCCTGTGCTCACCCTGCCCCCGACACAGCTCACCCCACACAGAATTCATCGCAGAGTCACGGAATGGCATGGCTTGGAAAGGACATTACAGATCATCTCGTTTCAACCCCCCTGCCATGAGCAGAGACACCTTCCACTAGACTAGGCTGGTCAGAGCCCCATCCAGCCTGGCCTTAAACACTTCCAGGGACGCAGATCCACAACTTCTCTGGGCAGCCTGTGCCTCACCACCCTCACAGCAGAGAACTTCCTCCTCTATAGCTACTCTGAACCTGTTCTCTCCTGGAATCTATTCCCCTTGTCCTGTCACTCCCCGCTCCGCTTCCCTCTCCCCTCCGCTTCCGTCTCCCCCGGCTCCCCTTCCCTCTGCACCAACTCCCCTGTCGCCCCGCACCTCTTCCTTCCGCTCTTTTTCCCTCTCTCCCCGCTCCCCGCTCCTTTTCCGTCTGCCCCCTCTCCCTTCTCTCCCGCTTCAGCCCAGTTCCCCGTTCCCCCGCCCCTCCTGCGCACACCCTCCCGCGCCCCGACGCGGGGCGCGCCTTTTCCGCCCGGAGCAGTTGACGCGCACGCTCTGGCGTCACTTCGCGCGGCGCGCCCGCCCCGTCCCCGCCCGCCCCGCGTCGCCGCCCGGGGCCTGGACGGGGGTGGGCACGGGGGGGAGGAGCGGCAAGAGGAAGAGGAAAGAGGAGGAGGGGGAGCGGTAGGACATGGCGGCGGGGCTCTTCGGCGCGACACCGACGCGGAGCGCGGGCGGGCGAGGCACCCGTGGGAGGCGGAGCCGCCGCTGCCGCCGCCGCAGCGCCGCGGCGCCCGCCTCGGAGCAGTGACCGACTGGGCCCGGCCCCCCCGCGCGCTCCCGCAGGCCCGCCCGGCCCTCGCGCCAAACCCGCACTCACCTCCGCCCCGGCACCGGCGGCCTCAGCGCCGGGCAGGCCTCGGCCCGCGTCTCCGGCCGTCCCGTCCTGTGCCCGTGATTATGCGCGATCGGCCGCCGAGCCTGCGCCTCTCCCTCGGCTGATGTCCCCGCTGCCCCCCGCCTAGGATAGAGCAGGCTGAGCGCCCGCGCCTCGGGCACAGGGAGATCCACAGTCATGTATTTCCTCAGCGGCTGGCCCAAGAGGCTGCTGTGTCCTCTGGAGACTCTGGAGCGACCGCTTCACATCCAGACGGATCCCCAGAGAGCTTTCTTCGCAGTTTTATCCCCATCTCAGCTGAGCATCTGGTACTGCAGAGTGAGTATCCATCGGCTTGTCAGCTCTCGGACACTGCACCCCCAGCTGTTAATTTTTTTCTTGTTCTTCCAGAAACAGTTGGAAAATTTGAAATTAAGTTTATAGGATACTTTATTTTTTGTGAGTCAGAGCGATTAAGCCACGATGTTTACTGACAGCAATGTAGCGTTAAGAAAATATGCAACATCAATCTGCTTGCAGTTAACACCTGTTATGCCTGAAAAATGAGACTTCCAACCAACTTTTTTTTTTTTATTTTAACACTAAATAGCGCTTATGCTTGACGTAAGGAGTGTTTGTAGCAAATTTTTTTGTTTTTTGCTAATATACTTCATGTCTTCTGCCTTTTCAGGTTCTGTGTTTTATATAAAAAACATATGAATGTAGGAGATATGGAATAGTTTCTGTAAAGCACAGAACAAACTCACTACTCAGACTGTTATAACACAGAAGTTCACAAACTTTTATGGAAAACTTTATAACAGAAGACTTGTCATGGCTTTTGCATGGAGGTTGCTGCTGCAGCAACGTCCAGTTTGAGACTGTGTGAATAATTGACATTATGTACCTTACTCTTAATTCTCATTGTATTAGTGTGAATCTTGCGTGTCAGTTTGATTCGATGCAGTCAGTGAAACAACTGTGAAACTGACTTTAAATTTTGATGCTGAATCCTTTTAAATACTGCTTAGATTAGACCCTAAATCTGTCTATAAATATCTCCAGCTCCAGGTAATATAGAGTTCATCTCAGATTACCAGGGAAAACCAACAATCCAACTTTAGAAAGCTGATACTGGAAGATGTCAAATAACAGTCATAGCCTTAAAAATCTCGTTTTAAATTATGCTGAGATTTCATCACATTATGTTTTATTGTGCTCCACATGACTGTTCCTTAGTTCCTTGCTGGGGTGCTGATGCTGTTTTTGGAACCTAGACGGGTATCCAGCTAGGACATAATCAGCCTGGTAACTATGCTGTGGGAACATCACCATGTGGCCTGTGTTTCCTTAGGTTTGTGGCACACTTGTATATAAACTGTCCACTCTTCTAGCGTTTGCCAGTTCTTGAACCTGTAGCTGTAGTTTGTCAGCAGAGCACAATTGTTCTTCTTTTCTGGGAAATATGTAAAAAACCCAACAGGCATGTGGAATGTTTCTCAAGATGTGCGCTGTTGTCTAGAATGTAGTTTACTTTATGGTCTGTTCCCAAGGACGAGGTTCATTAACTCACATGCTTAGACTTGTTTTGAAATGTTAAACATTGTATAATTGGCTACAGACAGAGGACTAGAAGAATTCACTTGCTGCAGAAGAGTTGAGTAAACTCAGAGGCCATTTACATTTTTAAAATAGATTTTGATTCAGTTTGTAATGGGTGCTTTTGAGGAAGGTGCTGACTTTGCCAGGCTTGACCACCGACTGATCTTAAACTAAAAAAGTGTCTCACCGCCTCTGTGGACAACTGGCTGTTAGCAAAAACCTGTAAGAATAAAGATTTTGGTCAAGGGCATTTTTAAAAAGAAATTCTTCCACTGTTTTTCTGTATATAGCTTGGGTTTTGAGTGTGCCTGTGGGGTTGGTTTGTTTGTTTGTTTGTTTTATTTGGGTTGAATTTTTTTTGTAGTTTTTTTTTTATTTTTGAATGTTGAACTTATATAAAATAAAATTACTGCATTCTAGAAAATGCTTTCATTTGTCAAAAGTATCTTCTTTGAAACAAGGATAAGTTCTAGTCAGGTTGAACTAACTCAATTTCTTGAAGTAGAAAAGCCTTCAGGCTAATGTTCTTGTTAAGACTTGTTACTATCTCAGCTGTATATGAGAGGTTTCATGTAAAATGAGGTGGTGAGACTGGGAAAGTTCTGTTTTGAGTTTTTAAAAAACAGGGGGCCCTTTGAAATGCTTTCAGGTGTGCGAGCTTACACTGAGTATGTATATTTTTTAAAGTGACAAAGTACTGTTTAAAGCTCCATTTCATCTACTGTGAACTAAGAACTAGTGGAACGAAGGAAAGTTTATCCCAAAGAATGGATTATTTTCTGTTTTGGAATCAGTCTAGGTATTAAGATTAGAAACTGGGGTAAGTAGTGTTGCTAAAAACCAGATGGAGTTCTGTTAGTGTTTTTGAACCAAAAAGTCCTATTTTACTTGTTGGGAGAGACTGGATTGTGTATAGAGAAGATCAGTGACCAGTGGTGAATGTTTTCAATCATGCACCAGTATAGGTGAAAGATAATTGAGCACAGACCCCCTAGTATGTTCACATTTATTGATAAATTATATGCATGTGTACATTAGCAAATGTACACAACATAGTCTGGTCTATTCTACTCTATTTTCAGTTGGAAGGGACCTACAGTGATCACCTAGTCCAACTGCCCGACTAATTCTGGGCTGACCAAAAGTTAAATCATGTTATTTAAGGACTGGTAGACTCAGGGCATCAACCACCTCTCCTGGACACCTGTTATGGGTTTTAAAAGGAAGGAAAAAGGAAAAAAAAAAGACTGAGTTAAAGCCAAAATAAGCACATTTTAAACTTTTTACTTTATTTTAGATATTATTGGTGCTAAAAATCCTTTTTTGCTCCCCAATGGACTATATTAAATGCACCCCTCTTTGGAGTCCTCTGTTTTAACTATTTTTCTTAAATCTGAAGTTTTAGGCCTAGGTACTGATGCCTTAAGCCCCTAATGTTTTTTTATTTTTCTAATATTTGTAAGACTTGTAAGTTTTATAAGTAGTGGAAGTAGATTTTAAAAACAGCAACCCCCCCCCCCCTTTGTCCCTTGTCCCTTTCCCTTTCTCTAGCACCCTTGTTTATACATTCCTTAACCCTCTTACCCCATTCTAGGCTCCCTATATCACTCATAGCCCCAAATCCAATAGAAATGTTTAGTCTTTTGTCAAGGCAAGGCCTAGATTGTTGGCAGAACAGCATATCAGGGCCTAAACCACAGAATACGGTCAAGAATTAGGTAACTAGGTACCCTTTGTGCTCTGATGAAGAGGAAGGTGGGATGAACACGGGGTCCCAAAACCCCCAGACCCATTTCTCAGGGGGTGGACCCAGGGGGACCAGAGTAAAGGCCACAGGGTGGACACATCTGGGATTGGATGGATGGTATTACAAAATGTAACATCTCAGGCAAAGCCTGCATGCGTCTTGTAACATCTTAGCCTTGGCAAAATAAACCCTTTCTTATCTCACCCCTAATTAACTTCTCTGGAGATTTTTTCAGCACCAAAATACCACGGCAACAGTACCTCAGAAAATTTCTTGACACTAAGAACCAATGAAACTATTTTCATTGACAACATTGGAAAGCTTGTCAAACGTTTTCATTCCGGTAATGTTAAGTACTTGGATGCTTGAAATGAGAAATATCAATTAACAAAAGAAACTTTCTGAAATGCTAAAACGAGGTAATTGATGTGTAGTAGATTGACTTGGCAACTAAAGATGAGGTTTCACAAGGCAGCTGTGCAGTCCTAACTGTCACAGTCTTTCCTGCTCGCAAGTCTGTTTTATTGGCTTTTGTGGTGGACTAGTGATGTCTTTTTACAGGCCTGTTAAACTTAATGAACAAATAGAAGCCTGCTTTTTTTTAGCTCATGAATGAATCAAAGGAGCGTAGTAGATGGCCCGTTGAAAGTGTCACTCCTTTAATAGTTGTGGCTTTAATTTTAAATTGGTTTGGTTATCTCTTGAATTCTAGATATTCACCCATAGGGCTCTAGGATACTAAGGGAAAATGTCTGCAGCTAAGGAAGAAGGTGTTATGAGTGGAGTTTTCTACCTAACCCTTGAAAAGTGAATTGTGTGCAACAAGAATAGTCCCCTGGCATAGTTGTATGTATAAATATAGTCCAGTATTTCCTTTCTTTAATCTTAACAAACTTGTGACAATGAGAGGAATAAGTACTAGCCTTGAATATTTAATGAAAGTCCTGTAGGTTGTTGGACTGTCTGCCATGACCCTGCCAGTCAAAACCGGTTTTGTAAGCTCTTTGAAGCCAAGAGTAGCTTGCCCCAACTACTTATTTGGAGGAGGTTTTCTTGATTACCTATGCTTCTCAGCTT